ATTTCCCACGAACACCTTATAATCGCAATTACCCACGTCATATCCTTTGTTACGTTTCATAATATTCTTCGTTGCGCATTGGAGACCATTAAACCGTGCAGTGAACTTTTTCACTCACACTTTGAATGATATACTAGTAACTGAAACAACAACAACAACAACAACAACAAAGTGATGATAGCAATCAAATATTTAATACAATAACAACACGATCAAGTTAAACGTGTTTGAATCCTATCTATAATTGGCTATGAATATTTATCAAAGAGTCGACGTCAGCATTTGTGCACATAACTTCTAAAAGAGAAAATTTAACGGAATTCTTTCAAAGAAAAACTATGCAGGCAATGTTCCATGGCTTTGCTTGTAAAGAAAACCATGCATTAGTCAATAAATTGTAACTACCCAACTTTTATAAATATAGTTGGCAACCTTTGATCGAGTTAGGATGTAGGGACTGTGGATCAAACAATGAATTTTCGCCTTGATAGTCAGTACCTTTAACCACAGTCTTTTCGTGAGGGAATGTGCTTTAACCCATATACTCCATGGAGGTTTTATTAGGGAAGGGTATACAGACAAATGCGACAAACCACACAAATACACGGTTTATAGAAATATAACTTTAAGGAGGAAATGTATTAGTTTAAAAGTATGTTCACTTCAATACAAAAACTGCGTCTAATAAATTAGCAAATTGAATATATAGACAACTTACAAGTGGATTTTGTCACATGTGTCCTCCACAAACACATATAAATGCTGTCTTCCTGTGATGAAAATGACGTAATATGAAAATAAGGAGTCATTGAGAAGGTGGTTGATGACTAAGGTTTGATAAGGTTTGCTCTCTCCAAATGATACTCATACAGAATATAAACACAATATAAAATAACTAGATTGCTTTCCCTTTTTGATAAATTAATCCGGCCAGTCCTAACTTATGGTAGTGATGTCTGGAGCATGAATGCTCGCACAAGTCTGCCATTGAAGAGGTTCATAATAGTTACCTCAGATATCTAGGCGTTTCCAAAAATACACCAATAATATGTATTCATGGGAAATTGGGTAGATTGCCGTTGGATATATTAATAAAAAAAATCTGATTAAATATTACAGTCGTGTATTAACTACAGACAACTTACTACTCAAATAAGATAGAAGACAATAAAAAAGGTAAATGGTGAAAAGCCGAATAACAAAAAATAGATCGAACTGTAATTATAAACACTGATTCAAACATTTTCAACGCAAAAGGAAATAAAAAAAAACTTAAAGAATTCTTCATGTAACATTGGACAGAAGAAATTTACAAAAATAAATCAAGAACAAACTTTAAAAAGAATTCAAAAATACATAACAGACCTTGCCAATATTGAACTGCGTGAAAGCAAATAAATTTAGATAAAGGAACTACAATTAAAACAAAATATTTGCAGCTGCTATGAATTGTGTCTGTCCTACCCATACAAAGAAGCAGGATCTTTATCGAACTTTATGTAACCGGGTAATTTGGAGGGCGGCGATGTCTAAAAATACATTAAAAAACACTGCTTTATCATTATATCAACGCAAAAATCGAGATACTAGTACTTAAAGGCAACAACCAGCATTATAATATAATAAAACCATGAGAAACAGACAAATAATTTCATACTGAAACTTTAATACTGCACACTCACCTCAAAAATGCTTATCGACTGACTTTCCACCAAAGAACACAACATTGTATACATGAATATATAACAGACGAAC